AAATAAAATTTTTTTTTTTTTTTTTTTTTTTTTTTTTTTGGGGGGGGGGGGGATAGATAGAGACGAAGGGTTGGCAGAGAGCAGAGAAGGAGCATGATTTTGAAATGATAGAAAAAGAAAAAGAAGGCCTCAATGATTTTTTCAATGCACAGAGGGAAAGGATGAGAGATTAATGGGAGGGAAGGCGCATGAGCCTCGCAATATACAATGAAGACAGAACTAGATAGACACACAAGAGAAGGGAAGAGTTGGAAAGGGAAGTGAAAAAGAGAAACAGGGAGTATGGAACATAGAGAGGGGGATAGGATTAACCTCTCAAGTACTACTGCTAATGGATTCAAAGAATGGATAAAAAGGGAGAACTGAAATGTGAATTATTTTACTCAAAACTCTTCACCAATATCTCTCCTATAGCACATATATATTGGTACAAATAAACATAGTGGCCATGTAAAGCCGGTGTCCAAGTTTGAGTAGACTCCAATTGACCAAATGCTGGACTGTACCATACACAGTGAATCTGGATTCTTTACAATAAGACCAAAAAGCTGACTCAGTTCATAATTTATTCAATTTTTTAATGCAAGGGGTAGAGGGAGTCAAATTAAGTTTAAAGGGATAGTAAGAAAGAATATGATAGCCTGTAGGTTAATTGAAAATATGACCTTTGATGCAAGACAAGATTCATGTAATCGATCCCAAATGATTGCTACAATGCTTTGTTAAGTTGACCTCTTAATGCATAAATCAACATAATTTAAAACATGGTAGCTATCCTCATGTTTTTAAATATTTTTGTCATCTTATACAACAACGTCATCACTTGGACCTTGTTTACATCATTAATGCTAATATTTCTGAGAAGAAGCAACACATAAGATGGGAATGGAGCATAGTCCCTTGGGTAAAATCAGTTGTGGTGGGCAGACTTCTTAATCTGGGTTGGTTTTTTACTGCCAAACTGGTCTTTTCATGTGCCCTGTTTTTTTAAGGCTGTTGTTATCTTTACATTCTCTCCCCCAGCTTTGGTTTTAGGCTACGTTGCCTGTACATTTGTATGGCAATATATGAACAAAAGAATGCCAACAAAATTTTGACATGAAGACCATAATGAAATCACAGTCTTTGTATTTAGTGCACATGTACAGACACAAGCGTGTGTATATGCACATCATTATTTATCCCCCTTTGCATCCCCTTTATTTCTTCAATTGAAACACTCATACTTGATTCGAGAACTGCTGATGTTTTAGACAATCGCTGTTCTTCTCCTGCTCTGCCCGCATAGATTCTGGATTCTTATAGCTTCGTTAAAAGTCAAAGTAAAAACTTCAAAATTTTAAGCAGTGGATCAAAAGTATATCAAGATAACAATTGTGTTTCAGTATTGTTATTGGTTCTAGATTTGAAAGATCTAATAAAATTGTAGTTGGAGAAACCTAGAATTATTATTGACTTATGTGGATCTTTGATCGGAAGAGCTTTACTAAAGGAAAGATTTTTCGGGAACATAATTCTATATTTTTCTGTCCATTTCTCTTGTTATGTTAGAATTAACCATGTAGTATGTACATGCATTGATGATTTGTGCATGGACTTGATATATGATGCACATGGAGGGAAAGCAGGGGATTCAAAGACGAATTGACTCTAAGATTTGAGTGAAAGGGGAAGAACATGGAGTAACACAACAAGACATGTTAAATGGAACTTAATTCTTTGCATTACTTACTGCCTTCCCACTCATCACTTGATCTTCATCTGTTTATTGGATGGCAAACTATCTCATACATAGGGACTGCATAGCTGGGCTGTTAGTTTCGTGTATATTTATACGAATGGTATTCAAACAGTAGATGAAACCATCTATGTTCAGAGCAGGGAGGGTCAACTTTTGTGCCAAAAAGCTGCTGAGGGGTTCTATTCCATATGGAGGTGGATGGAAGCCATTTAAGTACATAGAAAGGGTCTGTCTGGCCAATTAACGAATTTGCATTGCTGATAGGTTTTCAGATTTCCCGAAACACTGTATTTCTAATTTGGCGTTCAGGCCTAAAGTTGTCTACATGCTTCAAATCTTTAGAACACTGCAAGTTAGAAAAACATATGGATTACGCATCCTAGGATAGGCGCAGAGCAAGGTGTGGCAACCATAATTATGAAGTGTTTTCTGAGAGACAGGAGTTACTATTGTCTGTTTTAATAGAATAATATCTACTGGGTACTCCAACATGACAATCATCAGTCAGTGGATTCCACGGCTAAAACGAATTGGTTCCACCTTAATCTGGACAAATCTTTGTTTACTTGGGTTTAGCTGATGCAGTTTAGTGCACTTCCAATTGAAGATACTCTTTGTCACTTGGTAAGGGTCATGAATGTCATCTACTCATGTATGTCAAATGTAATGTCAAGTAGAAACTTTCTATGTACTTTGAATGACATCAGTTTCCATTGTGGTAATTGAAGTCTGATAGCTCTGGAGTGAACTTTGCTACTATTGTTGTGTACCTCCTGAGTATCTACTCAGGTTAATTTTTCCCCTTGATGTTCACTCTCTGATGTAAAATCGTATGACCATTTAGGTTGGGAAAAAAACGAAGAAATATCCAATGGGTGAAAGAGTACATCATTTGTATTTTTTGATTTTATTCTGTTTATTCAGACCATTACTTTTTGGGTTGTGCTTTGCTTCAAATGGTTGTATGTAGAGTTACAAACTTTTGGAATGGGTGGATACATGCACCCTGTTTGCTAGGCAATTAATTTATTTTATGCATATTAATTGTATTTTGAATGTAAGGCTTTGTTGAGTTGAGAATTGTGTTTTGAATGTCCAGCGCGAAAGATGAGAAGGAAGTTGCTCAATGTGTTAAAGATTTGAATGCGCCCAGCTTTTATCCCTCGATGATATCTCTCTGGGTCACTGATTCTTTTGAGAGGAAGGACATGGAAAGAGATCTTTTGGCTAAGCTGCTTATTGATCTTGCAAATTCTCAAGATGTAATGATTAGTCAAGATCAGCTAGTTAAAGGGTAGGCACCTGGCTAGACTGCTTGTGATGAGTAGAACTAATTGTAGTAGTCTGAATTTAAGTTGCATCTCTGTCTGACTAAGTGCTGTTGCATTTTTGTTTGTCCAGGTTTGAATCTGTTCTAACTACTTTGGAGGATGCTGTAAATGATGCCCCGAGAGCAGCTGAGTTTCTGGGTTCTATATTTGCCAAAGTGATATTGGGAAACGTAATTCCATTTACAGAAATAGGTCAGTTAATATATGAAGGTGGGGAAGAGCAAGGACGTCTCGTGGAAATAGGGCTTGCTGCTGAACTTCTGGGAAGCATATTGGAGATAATTGAATCAGAAAAAGGAGATTCTGCCTTGAATGAGATCTGTACAAGCTCCAATCTACGGCTAGAGAATTTCCGGCCTCCAGGTTCTAACAAAACTTGGAGACTAGATAAGTTTATGTAGAGAGTAGTGATGCTCATTGTTATCTGATCAGAAGAAATTCGAGGTCTAGATTGATAGGTTTACCTTTCCAATATGCAGAAACATATTTTCTTTATGGGTGGGTGGGGATTTATATATGGGTTTACCTTCTTGTTCTAATATTATTATTTCAAAAATTTAACTGCAATTGTGAAAGGTTCGATTGAGCATCCAAATTTCAGCTTCTGAATCTGTTCACATGGCATACATTTTGTTTTATTTTAGCATGATTGCTGTATCTGCCATTGTGTTTCATTCCCTTTCTGTGGAGGATGATTTACGGTAAGCTTTGTAATGAGACGGTCTTTTGTCGCCCCTTGAAATTCTTGCACTGCCAGGACAAAGTTGGTTCTAACTTTATTTGCCATTTGTATTATACTTCCCCCCACCTCTCTATGTGTGTGCGCTCATGCGATTCTGTTAGTATTTTAGACAAATTGATAGGATTAAAAGACTTATGGATAAGCCTATCAGTCGAGTCAGGTGAAATGACTGGATTTGTGTTAACCAATATTTTATCTATATTCAATTTGTTTATTAATTCGTGTTCAACGAATTATATTATATCAGATTCGTGTCGTGTGTGAATTATATATAATTGATATATAAACAAGAGGTGTTGTTTATTTTTTTTGATTTGTTTCATCGATACCCAACTCATTTGTGTGTCTTTTATTTCTTTTATTTTGTTTTATCCATACCCGACTTATTTATTAATCGTGTTGTGGTAGGTCATGTCATATTTTTGTATCATAGTTATGGATATTCATGTTTGTATTGCCATAACACATTGCAGTAATGTACAGATTTTTATTATTAATTTTTTAAAAATGTGGGACTTGTAAAGTTGAATTTTACTTTATATAGTATTTGTATAGTTTTGGTCAAATTCTTCAAAAGCTGAATCATTTGGTGCAACTCATGCAGTTCCAACACAGTTTCTGACTCAGAATTTCAACACAAAGTAGATGTAATGAAAGAGCAATGAAAGCAAACAATCTGAGTCCTAAATTTTCTATTCAACAGACTGTTAGGGGGCTGTGGTCCTTGTAGATGGAAATCCAAAACAACTGACAGAAATACCTCTCCATAAAAACTTAAAACACTCTGATCATTAAATCCAATAGTGTATAAGGATCTGTACATGAACAACCATTTAAGGTAAGAATCTGATTATAAATAATTCCAAAAAGCAACATTGAAAACATATATCATAAGGAAAATGGCTTCATATACACATCGAACGGCTCGCAAGAAGTCAATTGTGGCTCCTGTTAGAAAATAGAACATAGCAGAAAATTGTTAGAAACTTTGTCTTGCATGCATCAAATTAAAGAATAATTACATCATAAAATTGCAAGTGTTCTGATAAGCTGGTCCTAAAAAGAGGAGAGTTTATGTAGGTTCATGCCAGAGAGGTCTTTCTAGCATGTTTGAGAATTCTGTGTTTGCATTTCACAAATTGCTTTCCATTTGGTAAATTTGAAACCGTGTGGTCTTAAATTGACAACCAAACTATAAACACTAGAAAGAAACCAAGAATCTGTTTTTTTTTTCCTGATATTTCAAGTCAATTAGATAGAGTTTCTCAAAATCGTTCCTCCATGTTCTCTTGATCATTTGCACAAGTACGTTGATTATTATACCTGTAACTGTGCATGTGCCACAATGTATGCACGCGAAATGTTTATGACTGATCTCTCGATGTAATATATAAGTAATTACTATGGCCAATAGTCCCATGTATGGAGGGGAATCACCTATAGGTCACCAAATTACATTATGTTTGGTTCCCGATCATGAATGCACCAAAGAGTCCATTGCTCAAAGGGAAACGGACAATTTACTCGAAGCGGTTTGTATTTTAACAAATTTTTGGACTAACCGATGAAATGGGCAACATGGACTCTATAAGAGGGGATTCAGGATTGTCAGGCAACCGAGACCTTTGTCTTGATATCCCAGCATGGATCAGTGCTTGTATTACTTCAGTGATGAATCAATTATAAAAACACGAGGCAATACCTGTGTAAACCCACCACTGAGACTACCTCCTGTCAGAAGCATGGTGAGGAGAGACGTCATTGCACCACCACCACCACCACCTCCCTGGTCATTTCCCGCCCCTCGGATGGCAGAACGCATAGCAGTCAGCATGCTTCCATATGTAGTCCCATGTCCACGCTCAATAGCTTGAATGAAACAGAATGTCATGGCACCTGTCGAAGTGATTTTTGATAGAGCCTAATCACATAAAATAATTAGTTTGGATCTTCTATTTTGACCGAGTTAAAAGACTTGAGAAATAAACACTTGAAAAAGGCTTTAAGAAACTCACAGAGGTATCAGCAGAGGTTTGATTATCATCACACCCACTGAAGCAAATGACTTCACCACCATTCGAACTTTTCAATACACCTGATCGAGGCCGATGATCCTCCCATATATACTGGCCACTCCTACTTTCCAGAACATGGAGAAATATAGATATAATGAGAAATGAGAAATTTGTAGAAAAAGACATGCAATTACTATTAATCTCCCGGGGAAGGGGAAAGATTAATCTCATTTGTGAAATGATCTGCCTAATGCCACTACCATGGGCACTAGTGCTATATTCTCAGGCAAAAGAAAATCATCAGAGACATTTATAACAATTGAAAATAGAAGAAACAGAAACACGTAGAAAACCTTTTAAAGGTCCACCTCAACACATGACCAAAATGTTTGATTTCCTAGGTATTTTTGCAACAGTTTCCCACTTCTAATAACTGGCTAAAAACAAAACAAAACACTCAAATCATCAATAACATCATACTTACCCACCTGTTCATTCGGCAGAGGAATGGTAAATCTAGAACAGTGCCACTATGGCAAGCATCTATTATTGCATGAAGCTTAACCCCATAAGGAAGAGGTCTCACAATTGTTTCATTGATTTCGTCATCAACAATCATACCCTGTGTTTCGAAGTCCAGGGGGCATAAAGTTTCATCATATCCATCAACTTCATCACCGTTGAAGTTTCTTTGCCTTGAACCATGACCAGAATAGTGAAATAACAAGGAGTCTCCAGGTTGACAACCTTGTATAAGCCAAAACAATGCCATTCGCATGTTTTGTTTGGTTGGAATTCTGTAGGGGTCAGTTTCTTCTTCTGCATTTTGAATTGAAACAAAAGTATCAGCAGCAGATGTGATCACAAAAAACAATTAGATAAAGATGTAACACAAAGAAGTGGATCACTACACAATGGAGTTACAAATTTTCTCAGAATCTTGCAGTCAAAGGCTAAGCTGAAAAAGGAATTACACAAAATTATTGGTAGAAAGAAATTGAAAGGTTGCAGAAATACTAACCCACTTGGACATCATTGCAACCACATTTTAAAAAGAAAACTTGCTCATGCTTTATTTTTTAGTCACCAAGAAACTGGAATAAATTGACCACAGAACCTCACAATTCATGGCACAAGTTTGGATCGTATCTTTACCTTTTTATCATAAATGTTTTCCACAAATAAAAGAATTTAATTTCACCTGTTTTCCTAAATTGACCCATCTCAGTAACAGCATTAATTGGAGAATGCTTGACCAGCTTGTCCGGTGACATCCAAACAAAGTAAGTTGCTGACACAAAAAAGTCAGCTCCAACTGGAAACCGCAGAATACTTTCAGGAACACTTCTTTGCTTCCCCTCTTCAATGNGGTGACATCCAAACAAAGTAAGTTGCTGACACAAAAAAGTCAGCTCCAACTGGAAACTGCAGAATACTTTCAGGAACACTTCCTTGCTTCCCCTCTTCAATAACAGAATGAGCATCCAAACGAAGTAATCTACTCGCTGAAAAACATTGCTCCAACTTGGGGCAGAAAGTAAAGGAAAGTGGTAAATCACTTTCACCGACACTTTACATCAAAGGAAACTCAATTGATGTACTGGCAAGCCACAAATTTGATTCGATTTTGTTAAAATTATCATCCTCCTTATACATTAAAAAGTTCAATCTTTTAAGATGACGCATTTTGATGGAAAGGTAAGAATATTTCTTCTTCACAGATTGATACACATTGTGGGACAGACTAAACAGGAAAGCCAGACACACCCTTTATGGAACATAAAAACCACAAAATATGAAGTTCTGAATTCAAAATCTAAGTTATCTTTCCAAACACATTTGTTAAAGTTTTCTGAAAGGAGTGTCCTGTGATTGGCTGAAATATGTCCAATATTGTTCAGACAAGGCATTTACTTCACCACTTTCACATTCTACCTTCTACTAGAACATAAGTAATTACTTTTCCTTTTCTTGGCTCAAAATTTGAAACAATNCAGACAAGGCATTTACTTCACCACTTTCACATTCTACCTTCTACTAGAACATAAGTATTTACTTTTTCCTTTTCTTGGCTCAAAATTTGAAACAACAATACCCAAGGTTAAGGGGTTTAATTATTACTTGTATATCCTTCAAACTTGAGATTTTCCAAAGAACCAACTTATCTTGGAACGGAGGAAGCAAATCTACAGACATGCATTAATATGTGTAGAAGCATTTCTACACATATACTGCAGCCAACACATCTGTTGCACATAATATACTCAGATACTATGTAGTGAAGGTCACTGACTCACTGGAGGGGTAATTTGTCGGTTGTGTGGCCATATGAAGCGAGTTACAAATTTACTGCCAAAACAAGATAATAAAACCAAATAATTTTGATAAAATAAACTAATCATACTTTAGTTTAAACCGATCAATGATTATATCATATTATAGTAATTTAATACCATCAATGGGCAGTTCAGGAGTTAAACCAGGATAGTAAATCTAAAGATATCAAAGTTCTTGAGATGATGGATCTCTTGTTTGGTGTAGAATTCTTCTATTTCACACAAGCGAAAGTATTATTCTTTCATAAAACCGAAATTGCCACTTACATTGGTAGAATCTTTTGGTAGTTAAGCTTTCTGCCTTGTAGTTCAGGGGGAAAAAAAAAAGCTGTCTACCTTATAGTCTATGATATGAGGGATAGGCTAAGCTTTTAAGTTTTAGGACCAACATCATATGCAATCCTTCTTAATGAGGACAGCCACCACTCCACACATGGACCTATTAAATATCTAGCATCACATGTGAACGCAACGCATTGACAGCCCATGCCTAGGGAATAGGACAAGAAGCTGAGGCCTTGGTCCATTGATATCACCAAAGGGGTAGGAGCCGCAGCAGCACGACAAAGAGAAGAGCCATTTACGCGAGACTTAACTGAAGAGTGCACTTGGAATGCCAGACCATCAACTTTAATATGACTTGTCATGGGAATACGACTCAAAACCCAACTTGATCCAAAAGCTTAAGTTGCTGTGTCTTGACACCGAACGATTTATTTTAGTCATTTTTCACATTTTTTTTGTTGATGTGAGATCAGTGTTTTGAAAGTGCACTTAGAGGCATGCCTAGGCACAAGGCGAGGCACACCTAAATCATAGTAATGAGCCTCAGGTGAGGCAACTTTGCTGAGGCACACACCTCAGGATTATGCCCTAGGCGCATGAGGCATGGGTTTTCCCTCCTCAACAGCATATTTTGGGTCATTGGATCTATTGAATTTGGGTATTTTTTTCAAGTTCATGACACCAGATTAGAGCTAAAGTTAAAAAAATCTAATTCTAACTTCGATATTTTGTGATTTTTCTAATTTTTCAATTTCTTTAGGCATTATTGTTTGATTGGGATTTATTATGCTTGATTATCATTAAACTTAATTGTTATACCATGTAGTTGTGTATTTAATTGAAAATGGCTCCTTAAATTGTTTACTTGCTAGAATGCTCTCGCTCATAACTGAATTATTATCTACTTTGAAATTTTTAATTGATTCAGATGTTTTATGACTTTATGATTCCTAAAATCCTTGTGTTATATTTTTCCAATAACCTTCTACTTCTTTGATTGCGGATTGTAATTCTTATGTGTTATGCTTTTGTCCATATTGGAAATTGTCAATGTGCTTGTCACTTAAACGTGCACCTCGTTTCGATGAATCCCACTCCTCGTGCTTAGACTCTAGGAGACCTTAGAGTCATGGTACACCTTATACCTTAAGTACCAATGTGTGGACAACCACCAATCATGTGTGATCCTAACTTACAAAGCCACAAAAAACTTGCACCTCAATATGCTTTAGATTTGTCTTTGGTTTGTAAATCCTTGAACCATGGTTTAATTGCCCAGCACCTGATTGCCTAATAAATTACTATAAAAGACCTCCTAAGAAACACACAAAACCTGCTTGCATCATACCAGTCCAAAATAACTTGCTTTCAATCCACACTGGCATTGTCCTTGAATGAATGGTGCCTCAGTAAAATATAAGAATTTTACCAAGATCTAGCAGGAAAAGGTAAGCTTCCTCTCATCAACAGTTTCTAATTCTTCTTTCCTTCTTACTCTTTCCATAAATATCAGCATTTTTTGTCAGAGTATAAATATGTGCAAGATTCTTGTATTCAATTTTAGATTTTCGGTAACTATCTTCAGACTTTGTTTAAGGCAACACCTAAAAGTACCATGACATAAATCCAAAATGCGTTGTGCCTATTCCCAAATCTTTAGCACCACTACCTCAATGTGGTCCTCATGAAGAAGAAGAAACGGCTGCTTCATACATGAAATATCCTACTTCGTGTGCAATATAAGATTGAATGTCCTTTATGGCACCCTGTAGGGATCCTTGTGGGAATTAATGTGGACAAAAGATTGTAAGGAACCATCTTGTGACAGGTCGATATAATTTAGAGATGAAACTCACTGAACACCCATAAATGAACATACATGTGTGACCAAATGGACCTAACTTAAGAAAAAATGCATGAAAAAATGTGGGGAAAAATAGAGCCAGAGATGTAGATAAACAAAAATATGGTTATAACACACTTCAGCCCGTTAAGTGACATGCAATTTAATCTGCTTAGCAACATCCCATTTGAGTAGACATGAGCTTGCTCTTCATATCCTTTCCAATATCTTTTATGATTAAGATGACAAGAAGGACACTTCTGTACTTTTTTTAATGGTGGTGACAAAAAAAAAACAACTAAAGGTAAGTTTTGAGTTCTTTTAAACAAAAACAGATGATCAATAACATTTAACATTGTTTCTCTTTTGTTCTAATGCATCGTTTGATATCCACTGTTTAAACTTTAAAGGGAAAAGTTCAAAAATGCTGTGATTTTTTACAAGAGATTGGGAGTTGAGAAGACTACTCTTAAATTCCAAGTTTCCTTCTTCTTCTCTACAAATTCATAGTAATGAAACAGGAATGCACAACAATATTCTTTTGTTTTTCTTTCTTCAAAAATTGCTAATATCAAAAATCAAAATGTACATAATACACAAAGTACAATTGCAAAATTATTCCTCCACCATAAAAAAAAATTCATATACAAAAAGGAATTAAAGAGATAGAGATATAGATGGTGACAGAGTTAGAATCCAAAAGTTCACCCTCTTTTTTTCTTGGGTATACATTTTTCCTGAAAGAATATTCCAACTTTATGTCCATTAACATCAAACAACAGACAGAGACATAAACATGTGTATATATATCTAGGGAGAGAGAGAGAGTCATTACCAGTGAGCATGATAATAGAGGACTCCGGAAACTGAAACTTGTTGATCAACAAATACTTCATACACTTAGCATCATTAATGCACCCCTTGAGCTCGTGCCTAGAGAATCTATACGATATCCCGACGATCACGGCCTTTTTTCTTCCGTGCGCGTTTGGCAGGGGACCAGGCGGCGCTTGGTTGTATGGAGATGGTGCCGGCGGAGGACCAGGCGGCGCGTGGTGGTGATCAGAAGCCTGGGGCAGCGGAGGAGGAGCGGCGCGAGGCTCGGCGATCTGAGTAACGTCGTGGCAGATTGCACAGCGGATGGATCGAGCTCCGGGAGGGAGCTGTAATGCCCNCGACGATCACGGCCTTTTTTCTTCCGTGCGCGTTTGGCAGGGGACCAGGCGGCGCTTGGTTGTATGGAGATGGTGCCGGCGGAGGACCAGGCGGCGCGTGGTGGTGATCAGAAGCCTGGGGCAGCGGAGGAGGAGCGGCGCGAGGCTCGGCGATCTGAGTAACGGCGTGGCAGATTGCACAGCGGATGGATCGAGCTCCGGGAGGGAGCTGTAATGCCCGGTGGCAGTTTGAGCAATTGACGAGCATGAACATGGCGGGATCGGTGAATTTGAGGAGAGATGGAGGCCAAAATTGGAACGTAAAAGAAGGGTTTTATTTTTGGATCGGAGGTGCTGTGTTGTGTCACAGGAGGAAGAAGAAATAATGGTGGAGGGTAGGGATATGAAGGTCATAAGGGAGAAAGACAAGGGCATTATGGGAACTCCAGCACAAGACACCAATTCACTTGAACGTTGAGTCTGCAACCACCAATGGCATGGTATGAGGTGGTTTGTCCATTGTTTGATTTTTTCACTTGAATTCGATTTTTTTTCTAATTCATGTTTATTTTTCAAGTTTAATTAAAGGATTGCGGTATTTTAATATNATTTTTGGATCGGAGGTGCTGTGTTGTGTCACAGGAGGAAGAAGAAACAATGGTGGAGGGTAGGGATATGAAGGTCATAAGGGAGAAAGACAAGGGCATTATGGGAACTCCAGCACAAGACTCCAATTCACTTGAACGTTGAGTCTGCAACCACCAATGGCATGGTATGAGGTGGTTTGTCCATTGTTAGATTTTTTCACTTGAATTCGATTTTTTTTCTAATTCATGTTTATTTTTCAAGTTTAATTAAAGGATTGCGGTATTTTAATATAATCAAACGGTTAGTCCAATAGATAAAAACTTGAATCTATTTAAGACTGTTAAATTATTAAAGCCTAATTCTTCCTTTTTTTTTTTTTTTGCTAGATAATTTTAACTCAAATTAAAAACTAAATTATAATCAGAATTGTGTAACTCAAGAAACATATACGAATCCAACTTGATTTCATGTTGAATTATACAACCCGAGGNTCATGTTTATTTTTCAAGTTTAATTAAAGGTTTGCGGTATTTTAATATAATCAAACGGTTAGTCCAATAGATAAAAACTTGAATCTATTTAAGACTGTTAAATTATTAAAGCCTAATTCTTCCTTTTTTGCTAGATAATTTTAACTCAAATTAAAAACTAAATTATAATCAGAATTGTGTAACTCAAGAAACATATACGGATCGAACTTGATTTCATGTTGAATTATACAACCCGAGTATTTGGTTTAAAAGTTTCGGGTTTAAATTGGGTCGGATATCTTTCGTAAATTGGATTAATACCCAATTAAAACTCTCAATTCACCAAATCCAACCGAGTTTTAACAAAGCCTGGCCCAGAAGTTAGGACTGACCACGGCCCAAATTATCAAATCATGGGCTTAGGGCAACCTTAACAAAGATCAGAGCAGACAAAATAAAGCTACTGACGGTTCATTTCCATTCTCTCTCTCTCTCACCTAAAGTTTGGGTTTTGGCGGATCCGACACCCTCCTGTTCTCAGCCGAATCAACCGATTTCTCTGAAAATGGTACCTGATTTATCCCTATCTACTCTCTCTATTTATGTCTCTTTCTCTCTCTCTCTCTCTATATGTGTGTGTGTGTGTATGTGTTGGTTGATATGTTGTTGAGCTCTTTACCNGTTTTGGCGGATCCGACACCCTCCTGTTCTCAGCCGAATCAACCGATTTCTCTGAAAATGGTACCTGATTTATCCCTATCTACTCTCTTTATCTATGTCTCTTTCTCTCTCTCTCTCTATATATATGTGTGTGTGTGTATGTGTTGGTTGATATGTTGTTGAGCTCTTTACTGATTGGCACTGTCGTTTGAGTTTATTTCAACTAGGGTTTTGTTTGATGCAGATGCAACTTTTGTTTGTTTTGGTTGTTATTGTTAATCCGTTCTAATAGTTATTAAGCTTTTGTTGTTTATGATGCGGGCAGATTTATGTGAATAGAACTCACGAGCTTAAAAAAATGGGTTAGAAAGCTTCACAAGAACTAGGGTCTTAAATTTTAGCCTAGGAAAGTGTGATTTGTCATATGGCTGTTTGAGTAAAAATGAGATTTTACATCTGATAATGAAGCTAATGGTGAGGCATTGTTACATTTATTGTGTTGAGGTTTGCTTTGCTCATATTGATGATTAAATCATTGCCTCTGACCAGCAAAAAATCTTTGAAATTGTAAGTGACACGATTTGTGCAAACACATAATCACAGACACTCATGCACTGATAGTTTAACTTGATAATGTTTAGAGCCTTTATATTCCAAATCATGGACACCTAGAAATTACTCTAAGCCTCCTGTCAATTGTATCTCGTACCTGATTTATCTTTGATCTTCTAACCACAGTTATTTTTCTAGCTTTGCTGTAGAAATGGGGTGTATGTGGCTTCTGCAATGTGTTTAAGTGATAGTATGTAGATTTCTATGGTAAATTTTTTTGTTTGGCAGACCAGTACTGATGGTTTGCTACTTAGAAAACGAGTTAGGGTTGGTTTGGCCAGTAGAAGCACGTGGAATATATGCACCAGCACGGCATCTAGGTGAGCAGAATATTTGAAGCTGTATCCTTTGACGGTTTAGGTAACTACCTCAGAAATCCAAAGTAGCGGATGTGAACTGAAAGTCCATACCTTCAATTTAAGTAGTAAAAGAAAGTAGAAACAATCGAATATTGCAAATTCCCCCTTAAGACAATAGAAATTTATCCTTACAAATGGTGAGAGTATCTGGAACTTCTTATCATTCTAGTGTTATTTGGGAATATCTTGTGATTTCACAGAGGTGGCCATTCATTTGAGATTACTTTGAAGATAGGAAATAATGGTTTTTTTTAACCTCTTTTCTGTTATGCTTCAAAGAGGCAAGTCTTTCATGTTTGTATGTAGTTTCTAAGAGTAATATTTCCTTGATCTGGCTCTAAATGAGTTGTCTTTGTTTGATATGGACTGTGTGCACGAACACACGCACCCATGGCGTTGTTTGTTTTTTTTCCCCTTTTTACATCTTATTGGGCTCTTTTCCATTGTTTGCTACTACTTTAGTTTAATTACAAGTCCATTGTTTTATGCAGACGAAAAGAACCAAGAAGGCGGGCATTGTGGGGAAGTATGGTATGCTGCTAGCTTGGTCGTTTGTTTATGTTTTACTTTTTCTAAAGAGTGTGATACATATAAAAACTAAGTATAATCAAGTGGACAAGTCAGGAAAAGGCAAGATGGGGGCTGCTGACACACACACACATGCAACCCCACATTTATGGACATGAGTTACCACCTGACTACAATTAAATCGCTAATTGACACTGGAATACAATGGCTATACTTCAATGGTATTGGTTTTCTTGCCTCGTTCCCTACATGACAAGTATGGTTGCATGGTCACTACTCTGTCTGCTTAGGTGTTTAAATTCATTCTTCAAACCTTGAGAATGATCTTAACTGCAGAAAGTCCATGGATGGTTGGTAAAGAGTGCATGTCCTATTAGGATTTTGTCGTTGTGGTGCTTTGAGGGCACTATTGCATTTTAAGAGTTTGGCTGTCAGTTCTGATCTTTTTGTTTTCTTAATTGGATTGCAACCATTTGACTGGTCTAAGAGTGATGCAATCATTAGACTGGTATATTTATATATACTTGCTTATGCACTTGCGGTTCTGGTTACAATTTAGGTACCCGTTATGGGGCTAGTCTGCGGAAGCAGATTAAGAAGATGGAGGTCAGTCAGCACAGCAAATACTTCTGTGAATTCTGTGGGAAGGTGCACCCCCTTTCAGTTTTATCTTCAATGTGTTTTGGTTCTAGGGCATGTTTTTGTGGTAATGTGGTTGCAGGTTTCTAACTATAGCTATACTCATGCAGTATGCAGTGAAGAGGAAGGCTGTGGGTATCTGGGGATGCAAAGACTGTGGCAAAGTCAAAGCAGGCGGTGCTTACACACTAAAGTAATGATTATTCTTATGTGCTTCTCTTAGGTTTTTGTGTCCTCGAGCGGATATTTCAATGCTATTGTTTGCCTTTCTGATTTTGCCAGCACTGCAAGCGCTGTGACTGTTAGGAGCACCATTCGAAGGCTCAGGGAGCAGACTGAGAGTTAAATCTGCATGCATTTTTAGATGGGTATGATCACACCATTCAAAGGGCTCAGGGAGCTGGCTGAGTTTTGAATCTTCATTAATTTGTGTATGGATGTAATTTAGCGAAGGCCAAGTTGCTTTCTTTTTGGCTTTTGATATTCAGTTAGGTACTTGGGATATCAAGAGCTTTGAACCTCATGAATCAGATTTGTGCTTTGGAAGATTTTGGTTCTGTTGAGCTGCATTAAGCTTTTGAAACTCATTAAGGCAGCGATTCTCGAATTCACATGCAGTTGGTTGTGCCTGCTGTGTTGCAGAGGGACCGTCTGAAATTTGCTTGTCTATTAACCATGGGCAGTTGTTAATTAATCTCTCAAGTCCTAGGAACATTTGTATTGTCACAATGTAACATGAGNCTAGGAAAGTGTGATTTGTCATATGGCTGTTTGAGTAAAAATGAGATTTTACATCTGATAATGAAGCTAATGGTGAGGCATTGTTACATTTATTGTGTTGAGGTTTGCTTTGCTCATATTGATGATTAAATCATTGCCTCTGACCAGCAAAAAATCTTTGAAATTGTAAGTGACACGATTTGTGCAAACACATAATCACAGACACTCATGCACTGATAGTTTAACTTGATAATGTTTAGAGCCTTTATATTCCAAATCATGGACACCTAGAAATTACTCTAAGCCTCCTGTCAATTGTATCTCGTACCTGATTTATCTTTGATCTTCTAACCACAGTTATTTTTCTAGCTTTGCTGTAGAAATGGGGTGTATGTGGCTTCTGCAATGTGTTTAAGTGATAGTATGTAGATTTCTATGGTAAATTTTTTTGTTTGGCAGACCAGTACTGATGGTTTGCTACTTAGAAAACGAGTTAGGGTTGGTTTGGCCAGTAGAAGCACGTGGAATATATGCACCAGCACGGCATCTAGGTGAGCAGAATATTTGAAGCTGTATCCTTTGACGGTTTAGGTAACTACCTCAGAAATCCAAAGTAGCGGATGTGAACTGAAAGTCCATACCTTCAATTTAAGTAGTAAAAGAAAGTAGAAACAATCGAATATTGCAAATTCCCCCTTAAGACAATAGAAATTTATCCTTACAAATGGTGAGAGTATCTGGAACTTCTTATCATTCTAGTGTTATTTGGGAATATCTTGTGATTTCACAGAGGTGGCCATTCATTTGAGATTACTTTGAAGATGGGAAATAATGGTTTTTTTTAACCTCTTTTCTGTTATGCTTCAAAGAGGCAAGTCTTTCATGTTTGTATGTAGTTTCTAAGAGTAATATTTCCTTGATCTGGCTCTAAATGAGTTGTCTTTGTTTGATATGGACTGTGTGCACGAACACACGCACCCATGGCGTTGTTTGTTTTTTTTCCCCTTTTTACATCTTATTGGGCTCTTTTCCATTGTTTGCTACTACTTTAGTTTAATTACAAGTCCATTGTTTTATGCAGACGAAAAGAACCAAGAAGGCGGGCATTGTGGGGAAGTATGGTATGCTGCTAGCTTGGTCGTTTGTTTATGTTTTACTTTTTCTAAAGAGTGTGATACATATAAAAACTAAGTATAATCAAGTGGACAAGTCAGGAAAAGGCAAGATGGGGGCTGCTGACACACACACACATGCAACCCCACATTTATGGACATGAGTTACCACCTGACTACAATTAAATCGCTAATTGACACTGGAATACAATGGCTATACTTCAATGGTATTGGTTTTCTTGCCTCGTTCCCTACATGACAAGTATGGTTGCACNTTTATGTTTTACTTTTTCTAAAGAGTGTGATACATATAAAAACTAAGTATAATCAAGTGGACAAGTCAGGAAAAGGCAAGATGGGGGCTGCTGACACACACACACATGCAACCCCACATTTATGGACATGAGTTACCACCTGACTACAATTAAATTGCTAATTGACACTGGAATACAATGGCTATACTTCAATGGTATTGATTTTCTTGCCTCGTTCCCTACATGACAAGTATGGTTGCATGGTCACTACTCTGTCTGCTTAGGTGTTTAAATTCATTCTTCAAACCTTGAGAATGATCTTAACTGCAGAAAGTCCATGGATGGTTGGTAAAGAGTGCATGTCCTATTAGGATTTTGTCGTTGTGGTGCTTTGAGGGCACTATTGCATTTTAAGAGTTTGGCTGTCAGTTCTGATCTTTTTGTTTTCTTAATTGGATTGCAACCATTTGACTGGTCTAAGAGTGATGCAATCATTAGACTGGTATATTTATATATACTTGCTTATGCACTTGCGGTTCTGGTTACAATTTAGGTACCCGTTATGGGGCTAGTCTGCGGAAGCAGATTAAGAAGATGGAGGTCAGTCAGCACAGCAAATACTTCTGTGAATTCTGTGGGAAGGTGCACCCCCTTTCAGTTTTATCTTCAATGTGTTTTGGTTCTAGGGCATGTTTTTGTGGTAATGTGGTTGCAGGTTTCTAACTATAGCTATACTCATGCAGTATGCAGTGAAGAGGAAGGCTGTGGGTATCTGGGGATGCAAAGACTGTGGCAAAGTCAAAGCAGGCGGTGCTTACACACTAAAGTAATGATTATTCTTATGTGCTTCTCTTAGGTTTTTGTGTCCTCGAGCGGATATTTCAATGCTATTGTTTGCCTTTCTGATTTTGCCAGCACTGCAAGCGCTGTGACTGTTAGGAGCACCATTCGAAGGCTCAGGGAGCAGACTGAGAGTTAAATCTGCATGCATTTTTAGATGGGTATGATCACACCATTCAAAGGGCTCAGGGAGCTGGCTGAGTTTTGAATCTTCATTAATTTGTGTATGGATGTAATTTAGCGAAGGCCAAGTTGCTTTCTTTTTGGCTTTTGATATTCAGTTAGGTACTTGGGATATCAAGAGCTTTGAACCTCATGAATCAGATTTGTGCTTTGGAAGATTTTGGTTCTGTTGAGCTGCATTAAGCTTTTGAAACTCATTAAGGCAGCGATTCTCGAATTCACATGCAGGTGGTTGTGCCTGCTGTGTTGCAGAGGGACCGTCTGAAATTTGCTTGTCTATTAACCATGGGCAGTTGTTAATTAATCTCTCAAGTCCTAGGAACATTTGTATTGTCACAATGTAACATGAGCCATAAAGACATGAACACCGATATTCTGAGGCGTGGATCTCCACTATCCTTTGTAAAACTTTGCATAACAAGCCCAAATTCAGCTTTAATGTCACATGAGCCTTGATCCACTAATGTATCGAAAACAGGGGAACAAAGGCTAAGGCACTAAGCAACAGTTAACGTTATATTTATTCTCAGTACTAAATTCACATACAAGGCCGGCTGGGTTGAGGTTGTCCCTGGGCACCCGCACTTATATTTTACAACCAACTACTCTCTGTCTCTCTCACATTGTGCTGTGAAAAAAAAAAAGAACACCAAGCTGCTGGATAATTCATCCATGTTGAACCTACCAGAAACAAGTGGAAAAATAGAACACCAATCTTAGACCTGACTAAACTCTCTCCTCTCCTCTCTCTCATTGCATCCTCATTTGGGAAGAAAGGAAAGCGAAAAATAGGGAATAAAAATAAGATGATGAAGCAAAAATTACAAGGAAAATTTTACACAAACACTGGCATCCTCCAGTTGCCTTCTATACTGATCGCTTGTTTAGACTGACAATGGCGTTGCCGTAACTCCTACACAGGAGGAACTGAAATTTCATCGCTGTTACTTCTACGATGCATTTGTTTTTGAACAGCCTTTACAGCTGCTACTCGAGCTGCATTAGCTGCCTTGTTAGCTGCAGCAACATCTCTGTTCACTCTGTCATCAACCTTGGCCACGTCGTAGGCTTTCTCTGCAGCTCGTCGTGCTTCCTGATGGTAGAAGAAATCCAGTCAGAAATCCTGTTTTAATTATTTTATATTGTTCTTCTTGCTAATCCAGTTCTATTTTTTTTTCCGTCTTCACACCTGTTTTTCAGTTTATTTGTCATTGTCCAAAGAACAAACAACCCACCACCTTCTTATGGGCTGATATTGGTAANAATTATTTTATATTGTTCTTCTTGCTAATCCAGTTCTATTTTTTTTTCCGTCTTCACCCCTGTTTTCAGTTTATTTGTCATTGTCCAAAGAACAAACAACCCACCACCTTCTTATGGGCTGATATTGGTAGATGGGAACTAGCAAACATCAGAACACACCTTCGCAATCGACTTAGATTTGGGAATTCAAGCTTCTACTTTAAACAAGAACCCTAAAAAACCTATGGACAGCATGGAAGTGAATTCGGAAAAGAAAATTGAGTCTACCATTAGAACTAGTCAAACTAAACTAAATTTGCTCCATGATATTGCACCCGTCAATACAAACAAACTCAGCTGAATTTCAATATGAACTTAGCAACCTAGCACAAGCTTACTAAACCAAAATAACTGAAATTGTTATTTCCATTGAAAATTTAGGAGATAGACATTTGTGAGACCAAACTAAATAATTCCGGACTCAGATATTATTGTCTTATATCAAATGTAATGGCAGTGTAGCTATATTTCAAATATTGGAGATAATGGTTCAACTAAAATTATCCGAAATATATACTTGCAAAATACTGNATTGAAAATTTAGGAGATAGACATTTGTGAGACCAAACTAAATAATTCCGGACTCAGTTATTATTGTCTTATATCAAATGTAATGGCAGTGTAGCTATATTTCAAATATTGGTGATAATGGTTCAACTAAAATTATCCGAAATATATACTTGCAAAATACTACAGTTCCATGTAAGCTGGATAGTGTGAAAATGAATTCTAAAGAAATGAATACAAATATTTAATTTACCTGAACTGAGTTAAGCACTTTTGAATGATAAACAGCAATGGGAGACACGGGATAGGTGGAGTTCTGGGAGCTTGGCACGTCAAGAATACCATTTTGCCAGTGCCCAGATTGAGTTTCCCCATTTCTGAAAGTGTACATGCCAAGCCCTTGCCTTCTACCTTCATGCCAGGCTCCTTCATAACGCTGCCCATTTGCAAAACGATAAACTCCAAACCCATGCATCTTGTCCGCGAAATACTCTCCAGCATATGTATCCCCATTCCTGAATATTAGAGAGAATGTTTTAAAAAATCTAATTGTACACATGTTATGGTATTAATACCAAAATAGAGAAAACAGAGAACAGAGATATCTTCAGTGGCTTTAAACACAGGTATCAAATCCAAATATGATTTAAGTTAAATCATAAAATTGCCCTCATATTTTGCAGTCCGGACAAATATACATGTTGGAAATAATGGTTATCACAAAGCACCAGGTCAAGAATAATAAAATAAGTTACAGAGTTCTCATGTACATGCTTGAAAATTTACTTGAACTGAGGTGAACACCAGAAGCTGTTCATAAATCCTGAGAATACAGTCCAATGATAAGTTTCATCACCACGGGTTAAACAAACCCCAAGAGTTGAAGTAATGGTGTCTTAAAGAACTAGAGAAGTATAACTTTGGCCAATAGGAGATCAAACTGACAGCTAACCTGGTTGCCAGTATTTGCACATAGGAAGTGGTTTTGGGTATTTGCACAAAATAAGATAGAAAACTTTCCACTTAGTCTCCACATACGATCCTACCTCCATTAATGTGACAGCTAGCCCAGATTGTGAATTTCTATGAGAAATACCAAACACTAGGGATCAAAAGCCACAATCATGAAGGTTAGGAACCACCTGGGGAAGGGGCGTGGACCGGGCGATGGTAGGACTAGGGCAGGGCTGCACCACCATTGTAAGGGGGAAACACTCACTAATCATCAAAGGTTTAAGTATAAGATATCCTCAGATTTTTCCATTCAATATGTTCACTTTAGAGTTGAAGACCCAATAAAAAAAAAACTCCTTTGAACATTGAATGGAATCAGAGACCTGATGACGAGCAATGTGAACTTTAATTAACCATTTTATTCCCTTTTTTAAAGAGCAAGATGTGAGGTAAATGGGATGATTCAAATATACTCTCAATTATGAATGCAGAAACCTCTTTAACAATCTACTACTTTGTCATATCAGTGCAATGCCTTCATTCTACCCATCAAATTCAAACCTCTCCAGAATCACTCGAGTTGGGCGTATACTATGATTATTTAAGCCTCTCGATATGTTCCTGTAGTGACACCATAACTAGCTTACAACCTTGTGCTAAAGTAGGTCCTCTGAAGTTGATGACAACAGTCCCAATAAATGTCTGACAAGTAGCCTGCACAGGCATCAGCAAGGGTATGGGCTGAAGCCCATAATCTCGTAATGAACAAGAAACCCAATCACCCAATACTCCATAAATAAGACAGTAAAGAAAAAGGTGGCTAGAACACAGAAAAAGCATTCAATCAAAAATATGATCCATATGGCAACACAGCTCTAAAATGGGATGCCAAGGTAGAATCGTGTTTTTCCAACATATAGTGAGGGTGAAAGCAGCAACCTTGTTTCTGACTCCGATAGTGAGGCTGGTCCCATAGAAAGCATGCTGCTAACCCATACTGACTACACATATTTTTTGGTAAGACAAACTGACTACTCATAGAGCCAACATTAGCGCAACAATAAAGGGAGAAGTCACAACCCAAGTGCACCTATAGAACTGGTCATTGCCTGTTTTGTTACTTGTGAAGTAGAGTTCCAATGCAATGGAATTGCACATGTTATACTGGTTCTAATGCTCAAGGAAGAGCGTCGTGTTCCTAATATTACCTTATTTCACAATGGTCGTGGAAGCACTACTAGATCTCTCACTGAACCTAATCTGACTGGCTTTTTGCCTTAAGTCGTTTGGTTGCTTATACTACATTTAGTTGCCAAAAAAATTAGTCATTATGTAAAGGCTTATTTCATATATGTGTAGACGAATAATTCTCTCCGTCCATATTATCGAGCTAATTTTACTACCACCTGGAGAGGGGATATTATAATCCAGTTCAATTGCATTAGGTTATAAATTTATTGTTTTACCCACTAAATAACCAAAACAAAGATAACTAGACTAGACTGATGGTTTTTCAGTTAATATGTAACTAATAATATGGGATAAGTGAACTAATCAACATAAGTTTGGAATGGATAGCTATTGTTGTCACTCTTAATTCATTCATTCATTGTTTTACCAAACATGGATTACATTGAGTAACATTTTTGTCCCTTATCTAATATGTGTTTTATTGGCTTATCCAGAATTAACTAGATTACCCAATACAATCACCTCTTTTTTGCAATATGAAAACCAAATGAGCCCTCTAGATTTACCATCTCTCTTTGCCCCGTTAGTAAGTGAATCCACTGAAACTACCCTAGTTTGGATCCCTAGATGCGATTGATAAGGGTGGATACTCACACTCGTCTAGCTTGTCATTGAATAGATCGGATACCAACTCATCGTCTATGTATACACCAGTATAGTTCAAAGATTCCTCTATGAACTATGGAATGAGTGGTCAAGGCAATGGCATCGGTACCACTACCTGTGAATGGAAAATATTCAATATGGGTAAGCCAAGTTTACTTGGATAAGTCTTCTCCTGAATTCAGGTGCAAAAGAGTCGATGTTGGTGAGACAAGTGTCCTAAGATAAATCTTCTGGTCCTCCGCGTCAATTTCACCTCCTTTTAAGGCTAGCACTAGGCCTAGACTCCAGTATCTCAGTTTCTAAGCTAGGAATCACACTGAACTCTAAACAAGGATGCAAGAATGAGAACCTTCATAAACATCATCCACAGCACCCCACACACTAAACCAGGGGCTACATCTACTTTTCTTCCTCTCTTTTTTTTTTTTTCCTTTTTTGGTACACAAAACCACAGAATACAGAAAAACCAAAGTGTGTACGTCTATCATAATAAGTATCTTCCTTTGTATCAAAGCATACATCCATTTTATAATCATTTGTAGCACTCATAAATTATCTTAATTAGAAATAAATAGAACCCTACCTCCAAAAAATTTGTAAATATAAGAACCGACCTATGTATAAAAGTTGCAAGTTCGACACAGTATAGCACAAACTCCACAAGTCAGAAGCTGAAAAACTCAATTCACAGACAATAAAAGCATTTGGAATCAGTTGTTTCAAATCAATAGTTATCTAANACCGACCTATGTATAAAAGTTGCAAGTTCGACACAGTATAGCACAAACTCCACAAGTTAGAAGCTGAAAAACTCAATTCACAGACAATAAAAGCATTTGGAATCAGTTGTTTCAAATCAATAGTTATCTAACAACCCAAGAGGACATTAACACTACCTCCAAAACCAAACCAAAAGTCAAAAGCCAATAAACTGTTCCAAATGAAAAAAAAAAAAACTCAATGGAGCCATCTCTAGAAATTACCTGAAATGGTAATGGCCAAGTCCATGCTTAACACCCCACTTGAATTCTCCCACATACCGGCTACCGTCTTCACAAGTGTGTACTCCACACCCATGACTCTGCCCATTGGACCATTCCCCCGCATATACATCTCCAGTATAAAATCTATACACCCCAAACCCATGTCTAAGGCCTTGCCTATACTGCCCGCGGTACCGGCTCCCTCTCGCCCATGTCTCCACCCCAACCCCATCATACTTCCCATCAACCCAATCACCCTCATACCTCCCACTCATGTAATAATGATAAACCCCACTACCAGAACACTTGCCCTTGTGAAATTCACCCTCATACACATCCCCATTGCTGTATGCCTGAACCCAACACCCAGAATTCACCTTTTTTTCCAATTTTGGCCTTGAACCAATAGTCCAAAACACCGGCAATGGCGGTCTAGACACTTGGGTTGACGAAGAAAGCTTAATTGGGAAAGAACGAGCAAGAAACAGGCGAATTGACGGAAGGCGAGGAAGAGCGAGGTTGAGAGAGAATAACAGTGCGGCAGAAAAGGCGAAAGCGGAGAAGAAATCAAGGAGGAAAGAACGGCTTGGATGCGAAACCAAGAAGTAGAAAAATGGGAGAGACAACAAGAGAATGAGGCGAACGTGGACACGGAGACGACGGAGGTGACGGAGGCGGCGGAGGAGGTGAAAGGCGGCCTCTTTGGTAGATGATGGGCTCAGAAAACGATAATAATAGTGGGTTCTAAATGGAGTTTTCGATGGCGGGGGTGAAGATTTCAATGGTGGTATGGAGGAAAATGGGTACCGGTGAAGAGAATTGGACAAAGTGGGTGATTTAGAGAAAGAATTGAGAGAATTGGAAGATGGGTTTGCCGTGGTTTGGGCCAAAATGGGTCTCTTGTGAGGGGTAGGTTTGGGGGTTGATGAAGGGGAAGGGGTAACTGGGTCATTTTCATTGATGAGAATCTTAAGGTCTGTATGAGACGATGACAAAGAACGTGAAGACGAAAGAAGAGTTTGGGGATTTGAGTGGAAATTATGGGATTGTTGGGGGTGTTTCTGGTGAATTGAAGGAGGAGGGAAGAGAAGTGGGGGTGTAGGGTTGAAATCGGAAGAGATGCCGCTGCTTTCTTTTCCGATTTGAACTTCAGATTTCTTCTGATGCATTACACACACACACACACAATCACTCCCCCTCTATCTCTCTCTCTCTATCTACTCTCTGTTGTCTTCTCTATCAAGAATTCTTGAAATTGCAGTAGACTTTTAATCTGGATTTTCCCTTTCTTTCTCTGGTTGTTCGGAACCTTCTCTCTCTCTCTCTATTATTTGTTGTCTTCTGTAGGACGATTTCTAGAAATTGCAATGGTGGACTTCCAATCTGAATTTTCCCTTTCTTTCTCTTGTTGATTGAAGGCTTCTCTCTCTACAAAGATGGTTAGTTTGCCGTCTATCTCTCTCGCTCGCTCGCTCAATACATCTCGATCTCTGTATGTGTGTACGGATATGGTTTATATATAGAGATGACGAGAGAGAAGAGAGCGGAGACTGCATGGAGTTAATGGTGTATGTGGGGAGGGAACAATTTAGCCCCATGGGGACATGAAGCGTGCCCTTGATTTTTCTATTTATTACCGAATTGCCGTCTCTTACACAATTACGAAATTTGCATTTCTTTTTTTCTGTTTTCTTTTTTTTTTATTTTCTTTTTCTTAACCACAAGAAACCGTCGCGTCATATTAGATCCTCTCTCGGAGAATAAATTCCAAATACCTGTAATCACCCGTTATCACAAGTATTGCTTAATTTTTGGACTCAGATTAAGGGTCAAAGTCAAACTCATAACCTCTAATTCATCTAAAGTCTAGCCTCGCACAAGTGAACGACGTATTCTTTTACTTATAGATAAGTTAGAGTGAAAAATTCATGAAAAGTTATTAACGAAGATCGACTAATTCTCTTCTCAATTCGTTCAAAGGCAGACCATCTTTGTTAGAAATAGAGATTTCATGAAAGATAAATCTCTTATAAATTTAGTCAATATTCACTATACAATATAAGACAACAATTAGGGTTGGACGAGACTACCAACCCTTTGTGGCTTTTCATGCTATTTTGATGAGATTGTAAAGCCTCCCCTTTTTCTTGGTATAGGTTTAACAAAAATAATAACAAATTCAATTTGATAGAATGAAGAACAAGTAAAGAAAGGAAAATTTAACAAGAGAAACAAACTTTTAAGATGTTATTTGTTGTTCGTTGCATCATCTAAAAGACCACGAGATTTTTATTTTTTGTATGATTGATTATACTTACACTTGTTAATAAACTCTGTTCACTAAAGTACTAATCCCAAATATTGGAGACAAATTGTAAGAATCTTATTCCCGAAGTTATAGTTTATATCTACNTGTTAATAAACTCTGTTCACTAAAGTACTAATCCCAAATATTGGAGACAGATTGTAAGAATCTTATTCTCGAAGTTATAGTTTATATCTATATTCTTTTTTATTATTACTATTGTTTCAGAACTGTACTCAATCAACTTTATAGTAATTTAAAACATAGTTGATAACTAGTTGTCGTGTTCAATTGTCTGATTTCATTCAAAACTTACTATTTATTACCTATATTTTAGCAGAAAAAGAAGAAGAAGGAGAAGAAGAATAAGAAACTTTACAATTCTTTAATACCATACTCGTGTTGTCTACCAAATAATCCTTGGGGAACAAGTTCTGCCGACTATTATAGAACTATGCCAGGCTTCATAAATGACAAATATTATAGGGTAAATTTCATTTTGTCCTTGAAAGATACAAAAAAAAAATTAGTTTGCTATGTAAATAATTAATTTTTTTACAATACCCCCTTAAAGAAATAAAAATATTGTAATGTATTCTATCGTCGTATTTTTGTTTGGTCGTCCGTCTGTTTTGTGATTTTTAATTGGTTGATTTGACACAAAACAAACGGACGATCAAATAAAAATAAAACAGTAGATTACATTGTAATATTTTTATTTTTTTGAGGGGACAATGTGAAAAAATTAATCATTGTAACAGATAAATTAAGAATTTTTAAATCTTTCATAGGACAAAATGGAATTTTTTTCAACATTATAATCCCTTTTTGTTAAAACAATAAAAACCTTATTCCTTCACAAAACTTAGTTAAATATGTAGCTATAACTAAGGGTGTCAAAACATAACATGATTCGTTAATTCAACACAAAGTTAGAGGGTTTGAATTTTTTTTAAGTCATTCGTTTTGTAAATGGGTAAACTCGACACAATATGATTAATAAATGAATTGAGTAGGAGTGAAGCCAATTAAAAAAAATACACGACACGACTTGTTTATATACCAGTTATATACGATTGATACACAACACGAAACTGATATAACAAGACTCGTTAGACACATTAATAAACGAATCGAGTATAAGTGAAATACTTTTTTACATGAAACCCGTTAAGACCTGACACGAAGCTGCTTTACTCGACACGATTAATTAATAGCCCTAGCTATAACATATATTAATAATTCGTAAAACATATTATTTTTCTTTCCAAAAAACCATTTTTATGTATAAGCCCTTTTACTGATTTTTAGAAAACTATTGACTAATGNCTTTTTTTTTTTTCCTTTTTTGGTACACAAAACCACAGAATACAGAAAAACCAAAGTGTGTACGTCTATCATAATAAGTATCTTCCTTTGTATCAAAGCATACATCCATTTTATAATCATTTGTAGCACTCATAAATTATCTTAATTAGAAATAAATAGAACCCTACCTCCAAAAAATTTGTAAATATAAGAACCGACCTATGTATAAAAGTTGCAAGTTCGACACAGTATAGCACAAACTCCACAAGTTAGAAGCTGAAAAACTCAATTCACAGACAATAAAAGCATTTGGAATCAGTTGTTTCAAATCAATAGTTATCTAACAACCCAAGAGGACATTAACACTACCTCCAAAACCAAACCAAAAGTCAAAAGCCAATAAACTGTTCCAAATGAAAAAAAAAAAAACTCAATGGAGCCATCTCTAGAAATTACCTGAAATGGTAATGGCCAAGTCCATGCTTAACACCCCACTTGAATTCTCCCACATACCGGCTACCGTCTTCACAAGTGTGTACTCCACACCCATGACTCTGCCCATTGGACCATTCCCCCGCATATACATCTCCAGTATAAAATCTATACACCCCAAACCCATGTCTAAGGCCTTGCCTATACTGCCCGCGGTACCGGCTCCCTCTCGCCCATGTCTCCACCCCAACCCCATCATACTTCCCATCAACCCAATCACCCTCATACCTCCCACTCATGTAATAATGATAAACCCCACTACCAGAACACTTGCCCTTGTGAAATTCACCCTCATACACATCCCCATTGCTGTATGCCTGAACCCAACACCCAGAATTCACCTTTTTTTCCAATTTTGGCCTTGAACCAATAGTCCAAAACACCGGCAATGGCGGTCTAGACACTTGGGTTGACGAAGAAAGCTTAATTGGGAAAGAACGAGCAAGAAACAGGCGAATTGACGGAAGGCGAGGAAGAGCGAGGTTGAGAGAGAATAACAGTGCGGCAGAAAAGGCGAAAGCGGAGAAGAAATCGAGGAGGAAAGAACGGCTTGGATGCGAAACCAAGAAGTAGAAAAATGGGAGAGACAACAAGAGAATGAGGCGAACGTGGACACGGAGACGACGGAGGTGACGGAGGCGGCGGAGGAGGTGAAAGGCGGCCTCTTTGGTAGATGATGGGCTCAGAAAACGATAATAATAGTGGGTTCTAAATGGAGTTTTCGATGGCGGGGGTGAAGATTTCAATGGTGGTATGGAGGAAAATGGGTACCGGTGAAGAGAATTGGACAAAGTGGGTGATTTAGAGAAAGAATTGAGAGAATTGGAAGATGGGTTTGCCGTGGTTTGGGCCAAAATGGGTCTCTTGTGAGGGGTAGGTTTGGGGGTTGATGAAGGGGAAGGGGTAACTGGGTCATTTTCATTGATGAGAATCTTAAGGTCTGTATGAGACGATGACAAAGAACGTGAAGACGAAAGAAGAGTTTGGGGATTTGAGTGGAAATTATGGGATTGTTGGGGGTGTTTCTGGTGAATTGAAGGAGGAGGAAAGAGAAGTGGGGGTGTAGGGTTGAAATCGGAAGAGATGCCGCTGCTTTCTTTTCCGATTTGAACTTCAGATTTCTTCTGATGCATTACACACACACACACACAATCACTCCCCCTCTATCTCTCTCTCTCTATCTACTCTCTGTTGTCTTCTCTATCAAGAATTCTTGAAATTGCAGTAGACTTTTAATCTGGATTTTCCCTTTCTTTCTCTGGTTGTTCGGAACCTTCTCTCTCTCTCTCTATTATTTGTTGTCTTCTGTAGGACGATTTCTAGAAATTGCAATGGTGGACTTCCAATCTGAATTTTCCCTTTCTTTCTCTTGTTGATTGAAGGCTTCTCTCTCTACAAAGATGGTTAGTTTGCCGTCTATCTCTCTCGCTCGCTCGCTCAATACATCTCGATCTCTGTATGTGTGTACGGATATGGTTTATATATAGAGATGACGAGAGAGAAGAGAGCGGAGACTGCATGGAGTTAATGGTGTATGTGGGGAGGGAACAATTTAGCCCCATGGGGACATGAAGCGTGCCCTTGATTTTTCTATTTATTACCGAATTGCCGTCTCTTACACAATTACGAAATTTGCATTTCTTTTTTTCTATTTTCTTTTTTTTTTATTTTCATTTTTCTTAATCACAAGAAACCGTCGCANTTTATTACCGAATTGCCGTCTCTTACACAATTACGAAATTTGCATTTCTTTTTTTCTGTTTTCTTTTTTTTTTATTTTCTTTTTCTTAACCACAAGAAACCGTCGCGTCATATTAGATCCTCTCTCGGAGAATAAATTCCAAATACCTGTAATCACCCGTTATCACAAGTATTGCTTAATTTTTGGACTCAGATTAAGGGTCAAAGTCAAACTCATAACCTCTAATTCATCTAAAGTCTAGCCTCGCACAAGTGAACGACGTATTCTTTTACTTATAGATAAGTNTAAATTCCAAATACCTGTAATCACCCGTTATCACAAGTATTGCTTAATTTTTGGACTCAGATTAAGGGTCAAAGTCAAACTCATAACCTCTAAATTTATAATTCATCTAAAGTCTAGCGTCGCACAAGTGGACGACGTATTCTTTTACTTATAGATAAGCTAGAGTGAAAAATTCATGAAAAGTTATTAACGAAGATCGACTAATTCTCTTCTCAATTCGTTCAAAGGCAGACCATCTTTGTTAGAAATAGAGATTTCATGAAAGATAAATCTCTTATAAATTTAGTCAATATTCACTATACAATATAAGACAACAATTAGGGTTGGACGAGACTACCAACCCTTTGTGGCTTTTCATGCTATTTTGATGAGATTGTAAAGCCTCCCCTTTTTCTTGGTATAGGTTTAACAAAAATAATAACAAATTCAATTTGATAGTATGAAGAACAAGAAAAGAAAGGAAAATTTAACAACAGAAACAAACTTTTCAGATTTTATTTGTTGTTCGTTGCATCATCTAAAAGACCACGAGATTTTTATTTTTTGTATGATTGATTATACTTACACCTGTTAATAAACTCTGTTCACTAAAGTACTAATCCCAAATATTGGAGACAGATTGTAAGAATCTTATTCTCGAAGTTATAGTTTATATCTATATTCTTTTTTATTATTACTATTGTTTCAGAACTGTACTCAATCAACTTTATAGTAATTTAAAACATAGTTGATAACTAGTTGTCGTGTTCAATTGTCTGATTTCATTCAAAACTTACTATTTATTACCTATATTTTAGCAGAAAAAGAAGAAGAAGGAGAAGAAGAATAAGAAACTTTACAATTCTTTAATACCATACTCGTGTTGTCTACCAAATAATCCTTGGGGAACAAGTTCTGCCGACTATTATAGAACTATGCCAGGCTTCATAAATGACAAATATTATAGGGTAAATTTCATTTTGTCCTTGAAAGATACAAAAAAAAAATTAGTTTGCTATCTAAATAATTAATTTTTTTACAATACCCCCTTAAAGAAATAAAAATATTATAATGTATTCTATCGTCGTATTTTTGTTTGGTCGTCCGTCTGTTTTGTGATTTTTAATTGGTTGATTTGACACAAAACAAACGGACGATCAAATAAAAATAAAACAGTAGATTACATTGTAATATTTTTATTTATTTGAGGGGACAATGTGAAAAAATTAATCATTGTAAGAGATAAATTAAGAATTTTTAAATCTTTCATAGGACAAAATGGAATTTTTTCAACATTATAATCCCTTTTTTGTTAAAACAATAAAAACCTTATTCCTTCACAAAACCTAGTTAAATATGTAGCTATAACTAAGAGTGTCAAAACATAACATGATTCGTTAATTCAACACAAAGTTAGAGGGTTTGAATTTTTTTTAAGTCATTCGTTTTGTAAATGGGTAAACTCGACACAATATGATTAATAAATGAATTGAATAGGAGTGAAGTCAATTAAAAGAAATACACGACACGATTTGTTTATATACCAGTTATATTCGATTGATACACAACACGAAACTGATATAACAAGACTCGTTAGACACATTAATAAACGAATTGAGTATAAGTGAAATACTTTTTTACATGAAACCCGTTAAGACCTGACACGAAGCTGTTTTNAAAAGCCTAAAGTGAAATTTTTCAATAAGATGCTAATGATATTTGGTCTAATACCAGGGTCTTAGTACTAACCAGGTGCAAAGAACTCCAGAGGTAGCTGCAATGAACATAAATCTCACTCATCGACCTAAACGCCGAACAAACACGTTGAACGGGAGAGTATGGAATTATCCAACCGATGGATGAGCTCAAAGGCGTGAAAAGAGAGTGGGGTAAGAATGATAATTTCAGATAAGTGATTTTTTAATATTCAAAATTTAACAACAATTATAAATCTCCTCGCCCTCTCCCCTCTTCCGAGGGGAACCATAAAACAAAAACAACAATTCCATGAATCGAATAACACCATGAAGATTACAGTTTTGTAAAGACGAGGTTAAATCATATGAGCAATTCTATTATTCTCGTGACCAAAAATACCAAAACACATGGTGTATGGTTTGCTCTTGATTTTCAGGCTTTTTTTTCAGTGGGCCTTAGAAACAACAGGGTCTTAACGAAAATAAAGTCCAATAGAGGTGGCCCTAACTCAACTAAAAGCCCAAACTAGAAGCTAAATAAATAAAAGAGAAAATTGGAAAGAGGTACATTAAATTAGACTTAATTGTAAAAAAATACACATAAAAATATATTAGATAATTAAGTCCTTAATTTTGATACTTATTTATATCTAAGTACATTATTTGAATTTTACTGATTTTTTTGTGACATTTTTGCCTTCCATTAATCCATGTGTTTTTTTTTTTGGAAAGTGGTGCATTAAATATCTCCTAATTTTATGGAAGAACTTTAATATATATATATATATATATATAAATTAACTAGTCATAACCCGTGCATGCGGACACGATAACATATAAAATTTGAGCGTCCAAAAAATCGATCCCACTATATTAAATTTTTTCAAAATATATTAACTACAAATTAATTAAATATTAAATAATTAAATATATAATAGAAATGAGTAGTGTGAAATTTTTAGAGAGAAAATATATAAATGATTAAATATGTGAAATAAATGAATGATATGATTTGATATTTGAGTCTGAAAAATGGATGATGGGTGAGGTAAGTGATTGATAATGACTTTGAGAAGAAAAATATGACTGAGATAAAATTCAAACACACTCTTGTTTTATTATATAGATATAGATATATAAATACGTATAAATATATATGTATATATACAAATTTATATATAATTTAAATAAATAAATATATATATATATATATATATACTTGTTGTTAAATCTCTTATATAAATTTTGAATTATTTTTAATGCACCTTGATTCATGCGTATTTTTTTTTTTGAAAGTGATTTTATTTTCAAATTATTTTTAATGCACCTTGATTCATGCGTATTTTTTTTTTTTGGAAATTAGTTTTATTTTTAAATTAATTTAATATCCAAATAGTATAATAGTGTAACAATAACAGTTTAACAATGTAACAATAATAGTGTAACAATTTACACAAAATATTGTACTATTGCATCTTGTCAAACATATAATTTCATTCAAAATAATTCATCTCCGTTTTGAATTTGTTACCACATACACAAAACTATTAAATATTGTTTTTGTGACACTGTCTTTGTTACATTGTTATTGTTACACTATTACAATATTTGGATATTAAATTAATTTGAAAATAAAACCACTTTAGAAAAAAAAACCGCATGAATCATGGTCCATTAAATATAATTTGAAAACAAACTCACTGTCTAAAAAACAATACGCATGAATGAAGGTGCATTAATTATAATTCAAAATTTAGATAAGAAATTTAACAACAAGTATACATATATATATCTATTAACAACACNTTTTACTCGACACGATTAATTAATAGCCCTAGCTATAACATATATTAATAATTCGTAAAACATATTATTTTTCTTTCCAAAAAACCATTTTTATGTATAAGCCCTTTTACTGATTTTTAGAAAACTATTGACTAATGAAATTGTTCATAGTTTGAAATCAAGATGCATAACTTCTTTTTTTTTTAAATAAATACTTCAATATGTCTAAGATATTTTTAACGAAAAGGGACATGAAACAACGATATTCGAATCTAGAATCTTTCAATTGGAGGGTAAGGCCTAAGCCATCCTAACTAAACCATGATGATTGTGTTTCCTTGTATTATTTCTGCTTGTAATTTTTCAGCAGAGTCACCTTCCAACATGGCTCTTAAAGGAAAAAGGTAAATGAGAAAAGACAAAGGTCCATATCGTAGAAGGCTGATTTGCTTTTCTGTTCAAACTCTAGTAGAGTTGTTGGCTGAATATGAGGAAGAAAAAAGATGAAAAGGGCAAAGAAGAACTCAAAAAAAAAGGAGGGGGGTTTAAAATATTATAATTATTTTTCAAAGTTTGTTTTCTGCTTTAAAATGAGAATATCTCGCAAAAATCATACCCGCAAAAAATGTCAACTTTTCTGTTTAGTTGAAAAAATGAAATTTCTTACCTTAATAGCTCTAACAAGCGTGAAAGTTGTTGCTTTTTGCTTTCAAGCTCAATCTCTGAACTTTCAATTCTTTCAATTTAATTCCTTAATTATTAATTTTATATTAATTAAGTCCATCCATCAAATTTAGTCATTAAAACTAGTGGAGGCAAGTCATGTGTTTGTCTTGTGATCGTTCATGTCATTTATTGTCGTTTGTTCTAATGGCTGAATTGACAGAAGAATTTAATTGAACTAAAATTGGAGACTATGTTAAAACAATTGAAAGTTTAAAGAATATTTTAAAATAAAAGACAAAATTTAAAGATCAATTATCATATTTATCCAAAAAAAAATCAGAAAGGGATGCGAAAGAGATTAGTTCTTTACACATAAAATGAATCCACCAAGAGTGGGTGAAGATGACCACAATCAATTAGCTGCTGATGGAAAATTCCAAGGGTGATTAAAGTCAACAATTGGATTGAGTTTTAAAAATTGATCCATAGAATATTCATTGTTTCAGATAAATCTACAATGATGTCTCTGTCTTTCTCATCGTCGTCGTCCTCATTATTATTATTATTATTATTATTATTATTATTATTATTATTGTACTGGGGGCCNGCTGCTGATGGAAAATTCCAAGGGTGATTAAAGTCAACAATTGGATTGAGTTTTAAATATTGATCCATAGAATATTCATTGTTTCAGATAAATCTACAATGATGTCTCTGTCTTTCTCCTCCTCCTCGTCGTCCTCATTATTATTATTATTATTATTATTATTATTATTGTACTGGGGCGAAAGGTAATGTGGTCCCTCTCACTCACTCCCACTCCATATTGTTGGACAAATGATGATGGAAGCTGGCTTGACATTGAATCAGTTATGTTTCTGCATAATAAATTACATACATAACCCTTAAAGTATAATTATTGTGTTAATTAAACCCTTGAACCATTTTTTTTATTGTATACTGCGCTCTTAAATTCTCTTATTGTGTTAATTAAACTGTTATGTTACNAAATGATGATGGAAGCTGGCTTGACATTGAATCAGTTATGTTTCTGCATAATAAATTGCATATATAACCCTTAAAGTATAATTATTGTGTTAATTAAACCCTTGAACCATTTTTTTTATTGTATACTGCACTCTTAAATTCTCTTATTGTGTTAATTAAACTGTTCTGTTAANATACTGCGCTCTTAAATTCTCTTATTGTGTTAATTAAACTGTTATGTTACTCTTCGTTAGATTTTCTAATGGAAGTGGTCATATTCCCGTGACACAAAAGAGTTAGAATAAATTATATATGCTACTCTCAAACTATGACCTTTATGTTAATTAGACCCTTGAATTTTATATTTTTTGTGTTAATTGAGCTCATGAACTTTCTAATTGTGTCAATTAAATCTTTCTGTGCTATATGATCACGTGAGTGATGCACTCTAACGGAGACAAACAGAATAACTCAATTGATATAATTAAAGAGTTTATGAGCTCAATTAACACACACACTCAAAATAAAATATAAAAAAACTCCAGAACTTAATTGACATAAAGGACATAATTTGAGNACACAAAAGAGTTAGAATAAATTATATATGCTACTCTCAAACTATGACCTTTATGTTCATTAGACCCTTGAATTTTTTATTTTTTGTGTTAATTGAGCTCATGAACTTTCTAATTGTGTCAATTAAATCTTTCTGTGCTATATGATCACATGAGTGATGCACTCTAACGGAGACAAACAAAATAACTCAATTGATATAATTAAAGAGTTTATGAGCTCAATTAACACACACTCAAAATAAAATATGAAAAAACTCCAGAACTTAATTGACATAAAGGACATAATTTGAGAATCATATGTGTAATTTATTCAAATCGACTTGATCAAAAAAAGTAGGGCTCAAAAGCAGCTACATTTCTGCTTCCTACACATTCCTACAAGCAACTTGAGATCCGAGTTAGTGTCAAACATAGGCAATCTTTGACTTGAAACCCGTCGCAGCTTACAATGTCGCCTTGATTATGTGCACAAAATGTTACTGNGAGTTAGTGTCAAACATAGGCAATCTTTGACTTGAAACCCGTCGCAGCTTACAATGTTGCCTTGATTATGTACACAAAATGTTGCTGCTGCTGCAGCCAAGGAATCACCAACTGAAGGGAAAGAAGCTTTAATAGCTTGCCTAAAGGTAACATGGCAATAGAACTCATATTTTTCTAACCATTATAACTATTATGTATTTCAGTATTAATCTCCACCCTTAAACCGATGGCTTCACACAGAATTACATCGGGAAACATAGCTCTACAGACAGTGAGACAGCCCTGCCTAGATTTTAATATCTAACATCCAATGAAGAGTATTTGATAAAACAGAGGATCCACAAACTACAACGAAACGCACTTCAAACAATTTCTCAACCATGACAAACAAATAAGCTGACACACGCTCTGCTAAATTCATGGACAAATTTAGAAAACGTTTACTGGACAGATAGGCCAGAATTGATTTTCCATCAAGTAATCAGTTTCAACATCTTGGGAACAGCTGCGCTTACTGGGCTTGTTAGAAGTACCTGTACTTCATAGAAGCGAGATGTGAATTGCCACTAGTAGACAAATGAGATCTCAAGACATTGTAGCAGGGAACTTGTGTATCATGGCTTGTGGAGCTTGAAACCAAATACTCTTGGGACATAGCTTTGTGTTGCTTTTTGTGGCTTGAGGTGTCCATAACTCATCAAAAACAGGTGAGGAAATGTGGTTCCAAAATAGGCCCCATCAATGTCTTAGCAAAGTAAAGGAGATCCTTCACAATAGAGCAGTAAATACATGTATTGATAGCACAATGATTCATTAATGTCTCCAGGTTCACTAGAATTTTTCATTACATTCATTCATACAGGAGTCCATTGATAACAAGGCACATAACTTTTCACTATTTATGGATCGATGTTTTACTTGAGCCATTTATATGTACTATCCCTGTAATATCCAAACTTTTACAGATTTTAATCAGTCTAACAGCAGCAACAGTTCTAGTGAAAGTTTTATCACAAGGGAACTGGTCAAGTCATGGAAGTGGGAATGTGATCATGTGTATTCAATGTATCACATAAGAAGTCAATTTACTTTCAGATGTACAAGTCTACGACACATGCACATGTGACACCATATGAACAAAACAACAAAAGATGAGAGGACTGGGCAAGTCATGCAGAAGCACAAGAATAGAGGTATCTATGTTGAACTTCGAGCTGGAATCGACAAGGGGTATAAAATCAATGGGAGAAAAATATAAAACTGACGATTTTATCTATAAGTAAGAATGGCATAGTGAGGCAAACAAAAGGTATTTGCAGCAATAGTAACAAAGCTAGAAAAAGTTGGTGCAACAAAAGGATACTGCCTTGATACTTGGATCGAGGGTAGTAAATGTCTTCGCATTTGGGACAGTATATTTTTACAGTACTTGACCGTGGAATGTCTGATTGACCAACTGGAAGGCAGGGCTGTCCACAGCAGTAAACTCTTGGGCATCTCCCAAAGTCGTAGTTTTTGTACTTCTCCAACTGTACAAAATTCCACAGTAACGTTTTAGCCACAACAATATTATACAGACAATGAACAACAAAAAGAAAACTCTAATAATCTAACTTAAAATCTTACCATTGCAGACATTCCCTTGCTAGTCAAAATGTATCTGACATGAATCAGACCATACAACATCTCTGCTGCTGATTCAACCAATTCATTCTGTTCTTCTGTGAACATATCACCTGCTCATGTCCATACCAGAAAGAAAATAACAGTATCAACGGCTAATCTTCTAAATCCAATTAGCTTAGGCATATGAAATCACATGTGACGTGATCTTATTCCTGGGTTTAGGCCCTGCTACATCCTTCATTTGAAGCTTAGATTTCCAGTAATAAGAACAAAAAAAATAATAAGCAGCAACATATAGAGAAAAATTTGAAGGTCAGGTATTTGTTATTTCATCTGACAACTGCGTTCAAGTACCAAAAAAATCTTAAGCAAAATATACAGAAAGACAAGTAACAACTAACCAAGCAATTTTCAGATATAAGGAACCTAGGAAATCTTAAAGGAAAAGCAAATCAGTGCATAGTAATCAAAGTTGACCATCAATCATTACATATATTTCCAAAAAATATCCTGAACTAGTGAGTCCACCAAACTCAAGTCACTTAAAAACTTTTAGCAATTAAAGATTTAACAAGTGGCCTAGTTATTAAACCATTTTATAACCACCAATTCATGTTGAATGTTCTTCCTTATGGTTGGTTTCTGAAATAGATGTGCTATGTGTGCAATTAAACATCTAAAAAAGTTTTTTGTTCACTAATGTAGAATCAGGAGTCAACTGGATGTTGCACAACTGCTCAAGTCCACCATTAAAAGGCTGGGCTATTGAACTCACAAGCAATTTGTCTCGTCAGGGGATCTGTAATCCTTTTCTGAATCAAAATACTCAGATAAATTCAACTACAGTGGCATTCAGAATCTTTCTATGCAGCAAAAATGGAACAACTCTTAGAATTACCTTTGATTTGCATGGTTAAGTATAGCTGTTAGAAATTTAGTTCAGGCCCATAAAATATATATTTAAGGAAACTAAGGGGAAAACAGTTAGCATTCATTTTTCAAGAAAGGGTGTCATAGCTTGTGGTTTAACAAAACACACTCATATGGCCAACCACAAAAAGTTTGAATACGATTTTGTTGAATTGAGTTGAGTTAATACCCTGGAGACATGTAGATTAAAAGTAATTCAACTAAAGCAAGCTAAAACACTTACCATGAGAGGACTCAACATCCAAAATTAGATCTAGGGCATAATCATAATATGGAACTTGACTGCTTAATCCACAAAGATTAAAATCATCTTGAATGTATTCATCATCAACTTCACAGAAAAATTCATTTCCTCGCAGATTGCAAAACCATGAAATCCAAGATGTGTCCTCCCCATCAGAACCACTAACATCAGACTCTTCACTGTCTGTTTCAGATTCCTCTGTAATATAAGCAAACATGAGCATGTCAGTATTCATGAAATGAGATTTAATGCACATCATAAACCAATTTAGCTTCGTCTTAACGAGTTACAAAAATATTAAGAAACTGAAAATCTCAAAGAAAACAATATACCACAAGGTTCAACTCTTAGGTCAAACAACAAATCGATTAGAGTAAACAGATCTGAATGTCTTACATCCAGAAGGGCCAACACAAGTACAGATTGATGTAGTGCTGGAATCTCACAATTTATATTAAAATCTTATCCTAAAGACAGCTTTCCACACCTAGGAAGAACATAACAAGGTAGCATAGTTCAATCGGATCCAAAAAGTCAATCCATATGCTACCTGCTACCTTAAAATCTTCGCATGCCAGGCTGTATTCTTCGCTGACAGCATGTTGCTTGATAACTTCGTAAAGCATGTAAACATCACTTATTCAACATCCAAGCAACTATATGCAACCTATCACCAAGTAAAATGAACCAAAGAAAAAGGAACATTCTTCTAGATTTGTAACTAATCATAACGGTTTAGAGTTGTACAAAAATTTATTGATTATACATAACACAAACCCACAAAGATCCCTACAACACAACACAACCCGTCTTATCTTCCAATCATTTCAAATCATGTGAAATTCATCGAGCTTGTAAGTTTACAATCACCCTTTAAACCTTATGCCACGTGGAATACACATGTAAATATTTCCTTCTTATGTAGTTTGCCACTCTCTTATACACCATTTCTCTTTGCTATTTGCCCCGGGGGGGAGTATACCAACAAGCAAGCAAAAGCTGGTTTTACACCTAAATGCATACCTTAAGCACCTCAACACCGGAGGTGTGACACCCATTGCCAATTGTTTAAAACAACCACACCACTAAAAAATATAACCTTCTAAGCTCACACACTTCAGACAATAGGCATAAATGTAAACAAACATGAATTATCACATGTATGGAATTCCAAAGCTCACAGCTTTAAAAACCACCAAAAAAATAAATTCTTGCGTGCGGCATGAATATCTTTTTATGCAGAGCAAACCCAGATCATATGAATAACTAAAGGCAGATTAACAAAAAAAAGTTATTCACGACTCAATGATTAACCATTAAATATGTATTTTAACACATGTTTGCTAAATTTTGTAGCAGCCATTAATGAAAAATTATTCTTAAAAGCAGGAAACTCGTAATAATAACCATCAGAGCATTTATTCTTGTTGGTAGCGAGAGTTGAAGAGGATCGAGTGTCGCGAAGATCAATATGCTGCTGCTGCTGCGATTTGGTGCCACCGCCACCGGCAGAAGTCGATGGCACAGACAATCTCTCCTTCTCCTTCAAACCCCGCGAAGTCGACGGTGAAGACTTCTCCAAGTGCTTATCTAACGCATCGTTGATTCGCTTCCGATCAAACGGCCCTCCTACCATCTCCGACTTCGACGATCCTCCTCCGACTCGATACATATCCTCTCTCTATATATCTATATGTGCACATATATAGCTCCAAAATCTAGAGAGAAAAAAATGAAGATTTAATTAAAGGTTTTTTCAGGATTTTAATCGAATATGGGGCGTGCCTATGTGTGGACCAAAAAAAAAACACCTGAATTTGGGGATTTTGGAAAGATCGACGCAGGAAACCCTAAATTTGGACAGAAGAGTGACACTGTCAATTTGAGGGATAATGTTGGAGAGAGACTGAGGAAACTAGGGTTTCGTTGACACAGAGAGAGAGCGCGACTTCCTCANTTTTTTCAGGATTTTAATCGAATATGGGGCGTGCCTATGTGTGGACCAAAAAAAAAAAAAACCTGAATTTGGGGATTTTGGAAAGATCGACGCAGGAAACCCTAAATTTGGACAGAAGAGTGACACTGTAAATTTGAGGGATAATGTTGGAGAGAGACTGAGGAAACTAGGGTTTCGTTGACACAGAGAGAGAGCGCGACTTCCTCTAAGATTCTTTCTCTCTCCTGTCGTTTGTTTTCTTCTTGTTGATATTTTTCTTTTTCTTTTTTGGGCTTCTCTTTAATTTTTTTAAATTATCTTTCTCTTATACTTATGATAGGGTAAATTTCACTAACGACCCCTGAATTTAAGTCATATTTTTTTGACACCTCTTATAGTTTCTAAAATATCATTGTAGTTCATATATGCATTTCACTAATTACCTTACTGCCAATTCCACAACCCAAAAAATAGATGATGTGCCTTAGCTCTTTATATAGACCAAGATTAGACTAATGCAATTTCATTATTTATTTTTATTTAGAGTTGGTCTCCAAAAACAACACAAGTAGTTCAATTTGATGAAATTAAATATTAATTAGGTATTTTTTTAATAAAATAAATCTTAATTAAATGAATTGAATGTTAATTTGGTAAAATTTAATATTACTTTGATAAAATTGGAGTTACATTTGGTCTTAATTTTATAAAATTGAATATTAATTTGGTGTCAATTTGATGTCAATTGATGAAATTGAATGTAAATTTAATGCTAAATTAATAAAAAAAACATTAATTTGATAAAATTAAATTTTAAACTTATGAAATGAAATATTAATTTAGTGCTAATTTGACAAAAAGGAATATTAATTAGACAAAACTGAATGTGAGATTTGATAATATTAAATATTAATTTGATATAATTTAAGATCAATTTTGTGTTATTTGATGAAATTGAATGTTAATTTGATATAATTTAAGGTCAATTTAGTGTTGATTTGATGAAATTGAATGTTAATTTGATATTAAATTAGTGAAATGGTGTTAATTTGATGAAATTAAATATCAAATTGATAAAATTGAATGTTAATTTGATAAAATAAATGATTAATTTAGTTTTAACTTAATAAAATTGAATATTAGTTTGATGAAATTCAATGTTGATTTGATGAGATTGAATATTGATTTCAGGAAATAAAATGTTAATTTGATAAAATTTTAGGACAATTTTCTTTTTAATTTAATGAAAATAGAATATTAATTTGGTATGAATTTTGTGAAATGGAGTTTGATTAGATAAAATTGAATATTTATTTGATAAAATTGAGTGGCAATTGAATGGATTTAATGCTAATTTGATGAAAGTAGATATTAATTTGACAAAATTCAATGTTACTTTGATGAAATTAATGGTCAATTTTGTGTTAATTTATTAAAATTGAATATTAATTTTTAAAAACTTATGTGAATTGAATAAATTTGAATGTTAATTTGATGAAATTAAATAAAATTAAGATAAAATTGATATTAATTTAATATTAATTTGATGCAATTATATTAATAATAATGGTTATTTGTGAAATGAACACATAAACTCATCGGGTAAAAAAAAAAGGTTTTGTGATCAAGGTTACGTAAAATGGGAAAAAATAATAATATGTGGGAGTTATATTAAGGGCAATTACATAAAAATGCATTCCCTATTTACTTCATTAATTGACAAAAACTAACAAGGATAGCAGTGATATTTTAGAAACCGTATGAAATATCAATTAAATATAACCAAAATTTAGGGGTGTCAATGAAATTCATCCTTATTTATATTGAAGTGTCACAACCCCATCTTCAATTAATTTAAATTATCCCATTCTCAAAAAAATGATGTGCTACAACCTCATTTTTCAAATCATAAGCATTGATTAGTTATCTGAATGCATATCTTGATTTTATATGTTTCTCGAATATATTTTATAACCACCTCCTCCATCTATTAGATTTTTATTACAGACAATGATATCATGTGTTATTATCGGTATGATATTACCTCTATAATTAATATTTACATATGATATAAGATGATAAGAGTGACCCAACAAATACTAAAGCCTAAAGTGAAATTTTTCAATAAGATGCTAATGATATTTGGTCTAATACCAGGGTCTTAGTACTAACCAGGTGCAAAGAACTCCAGAGGTAGCTGCAATGAACATAAATCTCACTCATCGACCTAAACGCCGAACAAACACGTTGAACGTGAGAGTATGGAATTATCCAACCGATGGATGAGCTCAAAGGCGATAAGAGAGAGTGGGGGTAAGAATCATACTTTCAGATAAGTGACTTTTTAATATTTAAAATTTAACAACAATTATAAATCTCCTCGCCCTCTCCCCTCTTCCGAGGGGAACCATAAAACAAAAACAACAATTCCATGAATCGAATAACACCATGAAGATTACAATTTTGTAAAGACGAGGTTAAATCATATGAGCAATTCTATTATTCTCGTGACCAAAAGTACCAAAACACATGGTGTATGGTTTGCTCTTGATTTTCAGGCTTTTTTTTCAGTGGGCCTTAGAAACAACAGGGTCTTAACGAAAATAAAGTCCAATAGAGGTGGCCCTAACTCAACTAAAAGCCCAAACTAGAAGCTAAATAAATAAAAGAGAAAATTGGAAGGAGGTACATTAAATTAGACTTAATTGTAAAAAAATACACATAGAAAAAATATTAGATAATTAAGTCCTTAATTTTGATACTTATTTATATCTAAGTACATTATTTGAATTTTACTGATTTTTTTGTGACATTTTTGCTTTCCATTAATCCATGTGTTTTTTTTTTTGGAAAGTGGTGCATTAAATATCTCCTAATTTTATGGAAGAACTTTAAT